GCAAGAGCCGGCTCTGCTCAAAAGCACCTTGCCCTCACGGAGGCATCCAAGGTTTCTGTCTCGGTGCACGCATTGTAAGATGTCCCCACTTCGACACTTCCTCTGCTTGGCTTTGGTTTGTGGAGCACGTGCTGCGAAAAGAGGGAAATACACGCCAGCGATGCCTGAGGAGCGCACCATGAATGGCAAAGATGTGCGCCAAGCCACAAAGCTCTTAGAGACCATGTGCCCTTTCCCTTCCGAGACTATGGCCCAAACTGTGCCCTGTTCTTGGCAGTTCGCTGGGGCCCTAGCGCGGGCCACGAGCTTGCATCAGAGCTGCGCCTTTGTGCACCTTCTCATCATGTTGTCACTGGTCCTGAACGCCGTTCAAGTCCGTTTTGGAGGCATCTTAGGAAAGTTCCCCAACATCCTGATGCTTCAGCATGGTGAACCTGGGGATGGCAAATCCATTGCCCTGTGGCTGGTCCTTCAAGTTTTGTACTACTTCGACACCATCAAAAGCAAGCATGATGCTGCCAGGCATCGCATCGACTCGCGCCGCTATGAAGAAGCAAAGCGAGCTTACGAAGGAGCGCTTGCAATCAATGACCCTGAAGCTGAAGAGCCAGTCCCACCAACCAAGCCAGAAAAACGAGATTCTGTGCAGAACAAAGGAACTTTCTATGGACGCTTGGGCTGCCTTGTGTTTTGTTTCATTTTTTTTACCGTTTCATGTCTCCCCTTCTGACTGCTGCTAGAAACAAGTATTGCTTCAGAGGAACCTTGTGAACTTCTGCAATGTAATGAATGTTACTCTAAGCATGCTTCAATGAACTTCTGCGAGCAGAGATCCTGCTAACTCTTCACCGCCACCGCCACAAAAAGTACAACCATGTATAACATTGTATAACCATGTTTTTCTCACTTTGCGACCAAGGATTGGGATGCCTCCTCGAGAAGCAAGGTGGGCGTGCATTCCTGGCCTTGCATGAAGGCAAGTCTTGGCTTTCTGAAGCGTTCGAACATGCCAAAGGCGGAGGCTTGGAGGATTTGAACCAAATTCTCGACCACGACATCTACAAGAACAACCCCGCCACAGGACAGTCTCGCTTTCATGTGCGAAACCCGCATGTTGTGGGCGCTGTCCTGATGCACCTCGAAGAGTTGCTGGACATTGGGAAGAAAGGCGACAGCGTTGCGGGACTCCCACGCTTCTTGATCGGTCATTTCTTATCAGTCTGCAGCAAGGTCTGCCCAGAGAACTTGTCTGCCCAGGAAATGCAAAACTTGCTCCTCGAAGACCCCAATTATTTCAATGACCTTTCTTATGATGAGATTGTCAAGGCTGCAACCAACTTGCTCTTGCTTGCTGATGCGGCTTTTCCTTATCAGCGTCGGAGAGACGATGAAGTAGGGCCTGCCGCAAGCAGGTACTCCGAGATCCGAGGAATTCACACCATGGAGTTTGCAGAGGGCGTTGTTAGCAGTTTCCAACAAGACTTCAATGAGATGGTGGATGATTACCGTAAGGCCAAGAAAGCAGGCGATGCCAAGGCAGCACTTCTCAGCAAAGACAAGACCAGGCCCCTTCAGTTCATCCCAGGCATCCACATCTTTGAGCAAGGCTTGCTCCACCTCTTGTCCTTGGCAAGCGTCCCCGCTGATCAATGGCAGAACCTTTCCCCAGAAGACATGGTGCGGAAAGTGGCCGCGGTAAATCCAGATGTTTTCTTCAGTGATTTTCTGCCAAGCTCCGTGCCTCCATGTGCTACCCAGCAATCCGTTGATGCAGCATTCTCTCTTTCCAGGTGGTTCCAATCCGTCTACCACTTCAGCACGAACGCTGCTCAAAAGCTGGACGAATTTCGAAAAGACCGTCTTATTAAGACGGACTTGCCGCAGCCGAGCGCCCAAGCATTTGCTGAGAAGCTGCAAAAGGCGGTTGGGCGGTTGGGTTTTTCATTCTTCCTGCCTTAAGAGTGTGATGAATTCTGTGCGTCTTAAGTTTCTATAACTGTTACCACTGGGTGCTAGAGGGGATTTGGGTAAAGCCCGTGTCCTCCTTCCTTTGACAGGCTGCTGCCACATTGATTGACCCCGGCAACACCTTTCTGACCATGGACAGGGTTACCTACAAACGCTTTGTCTTCGATGCCAGCAACACGGATGCCGAAGTCTATGCCAAGCACTGCGACCTCATCCTTCTCGCCCTGATTGGCTTCATTGCCATCGGCCATGGAAACTGGGCAAAGGTAAAGTACGCAGAAGATGATCCCAACTTCATGTTGGCGGCCAACCGGCTGCAACTGTTCTCCCCAGAAGTCTCTTTTCAGGAGTTGCGCGCTGCCGTTCCTTTCAATGAAGGGCCCCTTCCCAACCTTGACCAGGACAATGCAGACACTGTGTGTCAAGCATTGGTCAAACTTCTGAAAGGCTTCCCGATTGCCATTGACAAGCTGCCTGACATTCAGGCTCTTGCTGTGCACGCCGACATTCCGCCTTCGCAACCTGATCCTGGTGCATCACAAGCTGTCGCAGCTTCTCCGCACAAGAAGCCGGAAGAACAGCATGTGTTGACACAGGTTGCTCTTGGAAATCCTGAGGCCAGTGATGATGAGCCGCCGGCGAAGCGGCTGAAAGACGAACCTCTCCAAGTCGCTGACCTGCGCAATCACAAAGACACGATGACGAAGATGCTGGCTTGGATCCTCAAGCAGAAGAACCATTCTATGCCGCAATGGCGCTTGAATGAAAAAGTGCGAGAGGTTCATCCAACAACAGAAAAATCTTATGTGCTGGCTGCCAAAGTCACAAAGCTTTTGATTTCAGCTACGCTAGCTGTGCCGACGCCAAACAAAACCAACAGCTTTGACCTTGTGAAGGTTCCTCAGGAAGATCGCGATTCCATCGTCATTGAGTTGGAGAAGGTTGGCATCTTGAAGCCTGGAGACAAGCAGAAGGTCACAGTGCAGTTGGGAAAAAGAGACACCGCAGCAGTTTTTGAAGAGTGTAAGTTCCAGGGGTGCATGGCATTGTGTGCTGAAGGCTTCAAAGGACACGCAGAGTGAGGGCATCCTAGACAAAGTCGCATTCTTCACCGCATCGTGACAAAATGCAAACTTGGCTCCTGCAATCTGCCCTGCCACTTTCTCATTCACCCAGCGCGCTTGTGCCGCATTTACTTCTGCTGCTTGTTCAGCTGCAGCATGTTAAGAGCGTGGTGCATGTCGCCAGTTGGATCTGATGCCGCATTGCTTCCCACCTGCAGGCCACTTCAAAGGGCCACCGCCCTATGCTGCTGGGCTCACATTCTGGCTGGAGCTAACAAGGATTGGGCAAGAGTACCTTTGGTTTGGCCCTGAATTCATGGTGATGATTCTGATGGATCTGGTATGGGTTACCCTAAACAGTATATGGCCACACTTCAAATTCTTATGCTATTGGTTAAGGCCTGGTGTTCATTCAAGGTGGTCTCCGGGGTGTCCGGCAACTTTGGCGACCCTTACAGCACCAAAGTCCTTCGATCTCCTGTTTTCGACAGAATCTCGCACGAAAATGGTGTCCCAGAAGGCTTTCTTCCGAAGGTCTAGTTTTACCGGCGCGCCGTGCTGTTTTTGGTGTCACGTGCTTGTTTTTTCTTGGATCTTCTCTGGCACTTGTACACACACACACGCTTGATGCTACTCTGTAGGATCTTCTCTGGCACTTGCATACACGCACACACATGAGGCTACACTGTAGGATCTTCTCTGCCACTTGCAGACGCGCACACGCATGAGGCTACGCTGTAGGATCTTCTCTGGCACTTGCACACGCGCACACATATGAGGCTACGCTGTCGTATCTTTTCTGGCACTTGCACACACACAGACACAGACACACACACACACACTTGATGTTACACTGTAGGATCTTCTCGTGCACTTGCACACACATGAGGCTACACTGTAGGATCTTCTCTGCCACTTGCAGATGCGCACACACATGAGGCTACGCTGTAGGATCTTCTCTGGCATTTGCACACGCGCACACATATGAGGCTAATGCTGTAGTATCCTATCTTTTCTGGCACTTGCACACACACAGACACAGACACACATACATACACACACGCACATTTGATGTTACACTGTAGGATCTTCTCGTGCACTTGCACACGCATGATGCTACTCTGTAGGATCTTCTCTGGCACCTGCACACACACACACACTTGATGCACTCACACTTGATGGCGCTTCTGGGACTGTGTGTACCAAAGAGAAAGACAGGAGAGAAATGTCCGTAGATCAGGCAAGAAGATTTTCATTCGAGTACTGAGCAGGCGTGTTACTTTTGTTGAATCTATGTCCATTTTTCGTAGCAGGTGTGAGCCTTTGGGGACAAGAGCTTGTCAAGAGAGCTCTTATAGAGAGCTTGTACGGAGATCTCTTTCAGAAATCTTGCCAAGAGACCTCATATGGGGAGCTTGTCCAGAGATCTTGCCAAGAGGTCTCTTACTTAGATCTTGCCAAAAAAAAGCTTCCAAAGAGAGTTTGTACAGAGATTTCATACAGAGATCTTGCCAAGAGATATCCTATAGAGATCTTGTGCAGAGATCTTGCCAGGAGACCTCTTATAAAGATATTGCCATTAGATCTCGTAAACAGAGCTTGTCGAGATAGCTTGTCGAGATATGTTTTTCAGAGAGCTTGTACGAGGTCTTGCCAAGAGACGACCTCTTGTAGAGTCTGTAAAGATCTTGTACGGAGGCCTTGTGCAGAAAACAGAGATCTTGCTAAGAGATCTCCTCTAGATTAGAGAGCTTGAGCAGAGATCTTACTTAGAGATCTCTTAAAGACATTTGCAGACATCTTGCGTGGAGATTTCTTGTAGACACCTTGTACAAATAGCCTTCAACCTTGCAAAGGGATCTTGCACAGCAGCTTCTACAGAAGCTGTCACGAACATCTTGCACACGATGTCCTACAGACAAAGATCTTCGCCAAGGGAACTTGCAGAATCTAAAAACTGGTATCTCTTCGGCAAGTTCAGATTCGAGATCCCAGATCTAAAATCCAACTTCCGAGATTCGAGATTCGCGATCCAAGATCCGAGATACGAGATACGAGATCTGAGATTCGAGATTCGTGTTCAAGATTCGAGATTCGAGATTCGAGATCCGAGATCCGAGATTCGAGATCCGAGATCCGAGATCCGAGATCCGAGATTCGAGATCCGAGATCCGAGATCCGAGATCCGAGATCCGAGATCCGAGATCCGAGATCCGAGATCCGAGATCCGAGATCCGAGATCCGAGATCCGAGATCCGAGATCCGAGATTCGAGATCCGAGATCCGAGATCCGAGATCCGAGATTCGAGATTTTCCCGCGGCGCCGATGACCATTGTCAGGTTCGATCTCCCATTTTTACACATCCAGGTGTTTGCTGGTGCATGTAACAGCAGCTGGAAATGTTGATTCAGCCCATCCCAGTTGGTGTCTGAAAACTGAGTACTGCCAAATCCACCGGTTTTGTCATGTTTTGTCATCATTTTCCCCATTAGACTTGCCATAATTTGGTTGTAATCGGTTGTAAAAAACCATGTGGTTCCTCTATTTTTGGACAAGATGGTGTCGCGGCCATGGCTCGGTGGCTCGGTACAAGGTGAAGTAGTCATGACTGAAAAGCCAGGTGCCGACATGTGAACCAATGTTGCACGGCTTGAACAAGAAACCAGGTTCACCAATCAGCTACACGAAACACAAACTGGCAATATTACGCCATATTTTCATCCATTGAATCTTTCAGCATCTTTGAATCTTGATCCAACAGATCCCCATCTCAAACTTCAGAGCCTTCAGCTCGACCGCGTCTCATGGTGCCCATTGGGTAGCTTAGCCCCGGGAGTTGCAACCTGGGCGTTGCTTCGACTGACATGGGCTTCTTTACATTCATCCTTAAACAGATAGAAGTGGATAGAAGAGTGTGGGTCCATCTAGTTTGAGGATTTACTTCTCTATTTGTGGCTTCTAATAGTACTACTGTAAACGTGACAAAGCTTGTGGCTCCATATGTGTCCTATTGGCCCCACTATTGGCCCATAGCCAAGTCAGATCTGTGCCCGCCAAATGCACAATCGCTCAGAAACAGTCCAGCATCATTGTTGAACCAACAGGTGACCAGACAGGTGGTTTAGGACGGGCTCACCACTTTAAAATGTTAGCCACCGGGATATCCTCAGATGGCAATTCTACTTTGGGAACATTTTGATAAACCATGTCTTTTCTCGGGTACTCTATTTTCAGACACAGCCGGATGTCTAAGCCACAAGACTCGAGGACTTGTTAACGATATCATTCTGAATGCTCAGATTGTCCTGAGCAGCCTACATGAGATTGTCACAGAGACATACACTGAACACCGCGCTCCAAACAACTGACCGCATATTGTCAGACTCAAATTAAACTGTTTTCCAGCATTTTCGCAACATGTACACGTGCTTGGTTCATTTTAGGGGCTCCTTTCAGTGATGTGCAGTGGCTCCAGTTATATATAGATTCAGTTCAGAATCTTATCCGTGTGTTTGGAGAGAGTTGCATGAATAACTCACCAGAGCATTTGGATTTTCGAAAACATCCCCTATCTTGTGAACCTTTCATGATGTTTCACAGGGCCCGGGACTGACACCCAACAAGTTGGTGTCAACCGCCTAGGTTTTTGAACCCTTTTGGTGCCTGCGGGGTTCCGCATGAGAGCGCAGCAGGATGAATCCCTTTGCGATGATGTCGCTGGGCCAGTGATCTGCGAGGTTTGCTTGGAACCCGCGATAGGTACCTTTGTGAAGTCCCACAGAAAGAACCGGAAAGAACCGGAAAGAACTGAAAAGAACTGGAAAGAACTGGAAAGAACCGGAAAGAACCGGAAAGAACTGGAAAGAACTGGAAAGGACCGGAAAGAACTGAAAAGAACTGGCAAGGACCGGAAAGCACTGGAAAGAAGTGGAAAGAACTGGAAAGAACTGGAAAGAGCCGGGAAGAACCGGAAAGATCCGGAATGAACCGGAAAGAACCGGAATGAACCGGAAAGAACTGGAAAGAACTGGAAAGGACCGGAAAGAACTGGAAAGAACTGGAAAGAACCGCAAAGAACTGGAAAGAACTGGAAAGAAGTGGAAAGAACATGAAAGAACCGGAAAGAATTGGAAAGAACTGAAAAGAACTGGAAAGAACTGGACAGAACTGGCAAGGACCGGAAAGCACTGGAAAGAAGTGGAAAGAACTGGAAAGAACTGGAAAGAGCCGGGAAGAACCGGAAAGATCCGGAAAGAACTGGAAAGAACCGGAAAGAACCGGAAAGAACTGGAAAGAACTGGAAAGGATTGGAAAGAACTGGAAAGAACTGGAAAGAACCGGAAAGAACCGGAAAGAACTGGAAAGAACTGGAAAGAACCGGAATGAACCGGAAAGAACTGGAAAGAACTGGAAAGAACTGGAAAGAATCGGAAAGAACTGGAAAGGACGGGAAAGAACTGGGAAGAACTGGAAAGAACTGGAAAGAACTGGAAAGAGCCGAAATACTTGGCTGGTTGGTGGTTTGGAACATTTTATATTTTCCATCATATATGGGCTAATCCTTCCCATTGACTTTCATATTTTTCAAGATGGTTATTGCACCACCAACCAGTTGGGTTACAAGCATGGTTGCTAACCAGTCATCGTTCCCACAGCTGCCCTTAGCCACAAATATATGTTAGGCAAACCTCCAGTGGTTTATGTCAGTGTTCCAACATGTTCCCATGTTGATTAAACTTCCCCGGGGTGTGCAGCAAACATGCTTAAACCAGCCATGGTGCTGGTTGACATCCGTAACTTGATGGAGAATGTCTCGTCAGATGTTCCAAGCAGCCAGGTTTGTAGGCGGTTGGTTCCCAATTGTTTCGGAAAGGCTTGGAAGGACTGCATTACATAAGCCAAGAGCAAAGCATGACCTGTACGGCATGTGTCCATGCCTCCTATGTATGACATTCTGGAGAGCTATTGTTGTATAATATACTTGCTCCTGCCATGCGAGTGGCGATGATATTTGCAAGCCTTTGGTGGATAGAGTATATCGATGTTGGTCACCCATATCCCTAGAGTCCAGTCTGGCTCAAGATCAATCGGAAGAATTGCTAGTTTTGAGATGTTTTGAGCGTTAGCGAAATGTTGCAACTCAACGTAGCGTTGCCAAGTGGTCGCAGTGAGAAATTTTCCCTTCTGCTGTCCTCCAAAGTAGGGGACTTGAGGGTTCTGGCCCAGAAATCATTTCAGCGTGGCTTCTTGACGCTTGTGACTGCAAACAATGATATGTTGGATCCTGCAGAGTCTCTGCAAGCTGCAGGACTAAAAGAGGGGGACCATCTGACAGCCATTGCCATACCAGTAAAGGTAGCAGCATCACCTGAAGCTATCGCATTGTGGTGCTGTGGAGGCAACCGCGTTTTGACTTGGGGAAAACAAAATTTTGGTGGTGACAGCTCCAGAGTCAAAGAGCAGCTCATGGGTGTCCAGCAGGTTCACGCAACTTATTATGCATTTGCTGCGATCCTTGCAGATGGATCCGTTGTGACTTGGGGAAAACAAAATTTTGGTGGTGACAGCTCCAGAGTCAAAGAGCAGCTCATGGGTGTCCAGCAGGTTCACGCAACTTATTATGCATTTGCTGCGATCCTTGCAGATGGATCGGTCGTGACTTGGGGCGATCGAATTTATGGTGGTGACAGCTCTGGAGTCAAAGATCAGCTCAAGGGTGTCCAGCAGGTTCACGCAACTGCTCGCGCATTTGCTGCGATCCTTGCAGATGGATCGGTTGTGACTTGGGGTGATCGAGATTCTGGTGGTGACAGCTCTGGAGTCAAATATCAGCTCAAGGGTGTCCAGCAGGTTCACGCAACTGATGGATGGGTTGTGACTTGGGGCGATCGAGATTTTGGTGGTGACAGCTCCGGAGTCAAAGATCAGCTGATTGGTGTCCAGCAGATTCACGCAACTCATTATGCATTTGCTGCGATCCTTGCAGATGGATCGGTCGTGACTTGGGGCGATCGAATTTATGGTGGTGACAGCTCTGGAGTCAAAGATCAGCTCAAGGGTGTCCAGCAGGTTCACGCAACCGCTCGCGCATTTGCTGCGATCCTTGCAGACGGATCGGTTGTGACTTGGGGCGATCGAGATTCTGGTGGTGACAGCTCTGGAGTCAAATATCAGCTCAAGGGTGTCCAGCAGGTTCACGCAACTGCTCGCGCATTTGCTGCCATCCTTGCAGATGGATGGGTTGTGACTTGGGGCGATCGAGATTTTGGTGGTGACAGCTCTGGAGTCAAAGATCAGCTCAAGGGTGTCCAGCAGGTTCACGCAACTGATGGCGCATTTGCTGCGATCCTTGCAGATGGATCGGTCGTGACGTGGGGCGATCGAAATTCTGGTGGTGACAGCTCTGGAGTCAAAGATCAGCCCAAGGGTGCCCATCTGGTTGAAGCAACAAAAAAGGGATTTGTTGCCACCTTAGGATACGGATCTGTTGTGACTTGGGGCGAGCCGAGGTTTCCTAGTGACAGCTCTGCATTTGCAGCTCAGGTTGCATATTTGTACTCTTACTAAGGTCTCTCCAGAATTGCCAAGACATTTTGCCGTTTGAAAAGGCCAGGGAGCACCACGTTGCGAGGGCACTTTCACATCAAAGTCAACATGTGGGTATGGATCAAAACCTATTATTATCAATTCTAATGGGATGAACATCCATTCACCAGCTATTTTGATGTTCACCAGGGGTACAAGGTTTTGACACACTGCCATGTCAGGAAATGAAAGAACTGGAAAGAACCGGAATGAACCGGAAAGAACTGGAAAGAACTGGAAAGAACCGGAATGAACCGGAAAGAACTGGAAAGAACCGGAATGAACCGGAAAGAACTGGAAAGAACTGGAAAGAACTGGACAGACTGGAAAGAACCGGAATGAACCGGAAAGAACTGGAAAGAACTGGAAAGAACCGGAATGAACCGGAAAGAACCGGAATGAACCGGAAAGAACCGGAATGAACCGGAAAGAACTGGAAAGAACTGGAAAGAACTGGAAAGACTGGAAAGAACCGGAATGAACCGGAAAGAACTGGAAAGAACCGGAATGAACCGGAAAGAACCGGAATGAACCGGAAAGAACTGGAAAGAACTGGAAAGAACCGGAATGAACCGGAAAGAACTGGAAAGAACTGGAAAGAACCGGAATGAACCGGAAAGAACCGGAATGAACTGGAAAGAACTGGAAAGAACTGGAAAGAACCGGAATGAAAAGAACCGGAATGAACCGGAAAGAACTGGAAAGAACTGGAAAGAACTGGAAAGACTGGAAAGAACCGGAATGAACCGGAAAGAAAGAACTGGAAAGAACTGGAAAGAACCGGAATGAACCGGAAAGAACCGGAATGAACCCGGAAAGAACTGGAAAGAACTGGAAAGAACCGGAATAAACCGGAAAGAACTGGAAAGAACTGAAAAGAAGCGGAATGAACCGGGAAGAACGGGAATGAACCGGAAAGAAGTGGAAAGAACTGGAAAGGACCGGAAAGAACTGGAAAGAACCGGAAAGAACTGGAAAGAACTGGAAAGGACCGGAAAGAACTGGAAAGAACCAGAAAGAACTGGAAAGAACTGGAAAGGACCGGAAAGAACTGGAAAGAACCGGAAAGAACTGGAAAGAACCAGAAAGGACGGGAAAGCACTGGAAAGAACTGGAAAAAACCCGAATGAACCGGAAGGAACCGGAATGAGCCGGAAAGAACATGAAAGAACTGGAAAGGACCGGAAAGAACCGGAAAGAACCGGAAAGAACCGGAAGGAACTGGAAAGAACCAGAAAGAACCGGAAAGAACCGGAAAGAACTGGAAAGAACTGGAAAGAACCGGAAAGAACCGGAATGAACCGGAAAGAACTGGAAAGAACTGGAAAGGACCGGAAAGAACTGGAAAGATCCGGAAAGAACTGGAACGAACTGGAAGAACCGGAAAGAACTTGAAAGGACCGGAAAGAACTGGAAAGAACTGGAAAGAAGAGGAAAGAACCGGAAAGAACTGGAAATAACTGGAAAGAACCGGAAAGAACTGGACAGAACTGGAAAGAACAGGAAAGAACTGGAAAGAACCGGAAAGCCGGAAAGAACTGGAAAGAACTAGAAAGAACCAGAAACATCCGGAAAGTACGGGAAAGAACCGGAAAGCACGGGAAAGCACTGGAAAGCCACCGGAAAGAACCGGAAAGAACTGGAAAGAAACTTGAAAGAACCGGAAAGAACCGGAAAGAACCGAAAAGAACTGGAAAGAACTGGAAAGAATTGGAAAGAACCGGAAAGAACAGGAAAGAACTGGAAAGAACCGGAAAGAACTGGAAAGAACCGGAAAGAACCGGAAAGAACTGGAAAGAACCGGAAAGAACTGGAAAGAACCGGAAAGAACCGGAAAGAACAGGAAAGAACCGGAAAGAACTGGAAAGAACCGGAAAGACCCGGAAAGAACCAGAAACAACCGGAAAGAACTAGAAAGAACCGGAAAGAACCGGAAAGAACCGGAAGGAACCGGAATGAACCGGAAAGAACTGGAAAGAACCGGAAAGAACCGGAAAGAACCGAAAAGAACTGAAAAGAACTGGAAAAAATTGGAAAGATCCGGAAAGAACCGAAAAGAACTGGAAAGAACCGGAAAGAGCCAGAAAGAACCGAAAAGAACCGGAAAGAACCGGAAAGAACCGCAAAG